GAGGCGGGGCTGGGTGGGTTAGTGCGGGGCTGCTGCCCGGTGTTAATAATCTCATAGGCGCTTGCTCGGGCCGCTCTTGGCACGGCGCGCTGCTGCGCTGTGCCGGCCGGCCCCACCCCACTGTCAAGGCGAGGCGGGAGAAGGCAAAAAGGAGTCCGACAGAGCGCGACCCAATTTATCTGCGCAGACGGACTATACCCGGCGGTCGCTTTTGCCAAACGCTTTTGCCTCGCCGCGCCGGGCGCGTCAATAACCTGATGAAGTCGTAGAAAGCCAAAGATGAATAATGTCGCATTGCTTGGCTGCGTAGGTCGAATAGGGTGTGGTGAAGTACCTGTGGACACACCTCAGTGTTGCGGGTTTTGCCTACCCCTTGGCCGCTGCCTCCCGCGCCCACACTGCGGGCGGGGTGTATTCTACTCTACACACAGCCCATGACGCTGTCGCAACAACAGCATGAAAACGGATAAACGGCTGATAAACAACATGATAGTTTGAGGTCGATTATATCGTTGTCCCGCTCGCACGGTGACTCATTAGCACATTGCTCCTTCCGCTACACTGCTCCGTCAGAACGTGCGCCACTGCGCCACTCCTCCGCCCCCCGGGAGGGGAGGGTGGTGGTGGTGGTGCGTGTATCCACCGCAACGGGCCCCCAGCCCGGCGGACCCCCCAGCGGTCGCGGTTTAGGACTAAATGAGGAATTGTCGACGGCTTTATTTGGAAGCTCGCGTTATAAATTCGTCCGGGTGTGACGTTTCGGGGCGTGGCGTTGCGTGGCTGGGCGCCCACGATCAGTCAGGGTGGCGGCGGCAGCGGGCGGCAGCGCCCCCGGGGGCTCCGGGCCCCGACTGGGCAACGGCTACCTACCTTGCAGTCACTTCATTCGCCTCTGCCCCCCCCTCTCTTTCTTCAATCTGCTCTGCGAAAACATCAATCCTCTGTTTCTGAATTATGTGCATGGCTTGATTTCTTTTCGCATCGTTATTGTTGCGCCTTATCAGAATTCCAAGGATGATCGCCGGCATGTCGTCGGGCGGCCTGTTCAGTAGAGCGACGTTGGCCTCTTAGTGACTCCAGTGGCCGACGTTGACATATGCTTATCGGCAAACCGTTAAAAGTGTTCAGAGCTTTGCGTCGAAACCTATGCAAAGAAAAGGGTAACAATGCAAGGGAGCAGTGTTTTGTAATTACGAGGAAATTTGGCTTTGTATCGCAATGATGCGTTCATTTCCTCTGTAATGCATAGCTCCGTTTTTGGGAGACTTTCCTTGATCAGAATCTGCCAGCGCATAGGTGGGCAACGACAGACACCGTGGACCCATCGGGACCCACAGTAGAAGAGAGAGGCGGCTGCACTGCGGGACGGCGGCGGCGCGGGTCCTCGAGCGACACGCGGCCCACCTCGCACGGGAGAGAGTTGGGCTGCCTAGCTACGCGGCGCCATCGGCCGCGGACAGCTGCCGAGCAAATCGTGTCGGCCGGATGATATACGTAGATAATATACGCGTCCATCAACCTGGCGGAAATACTTAAAAGCTAGCAAATCCCCCCCCCCCCCGTTTCGATAAACGTTGCTGCCAGCTGCGCTCTCTACTCCGTGCTCTACCGGGATCAGCCTGCCTAGCTTGGATAAGCTTGGTCTTCTGTAAACGGATCGACCAGAGAAAGCTTCATTCGGCACAATACGGGAGCTGGGCGCCTGCGAGACTCCGGGTAGGCCACCCCGCAGTACACCAATGCACTTCAGGCAAGATGTTGCCTATCCAACAGGCGCTAGAAGAGCTTGCATCGGCTGAGCGGGGCAGTTTCGTGACGGCCTATGATAGATTTACAATTTACATTCTAGATTATCCCCCCCCCCCCAAAGTCACTATACCCTCTTCATGCCTTTTCTATTTCATCCCTTAAATGGGTGTCAATAGGCACTAACCGTTCCGGTCTCCAAGAGTGTGACTCCTCTACAGATTTCAGACCTCTTGGGTAAAAGCCAGAGCATTCAATCGCGAACTAATCAGGAAGATGGCTATTCGCCCCGCTGTACTTGTCCTTGTCCCTCTGTCAGCTGGACGATACTATAACTAAAGAAAGGCGGCATTTCAAAAATAAAAACACATTTAATAAACAACATTATAAACAAGAATGGGCGGAGACAACCTTATCTGCATTTAGTGCCAGAAGAGCGCGAGACACCCGATGGAGATGGTCGGCGGTCGGTAGCTAAAAGGTTACCAACAATTCCACTATGATTAAAGCCCGCTGCGGCGTGCGGTGTGTCGTCCCGTCACGCCAAAGATCGCACACACAGCATCCTCGAAAGGTCAATGGCGAGGTCGGGCCGGCGCCGGCGGGCGCGGATCTAACGATGCGGGCGGGAGCGGGTGGTCCCCCTGGCCGGCCGCCCGGCCCCCGGGTCCGGTACCCACCTCCTCTCGGAGCATTACTGGACTCAGGCGGGCGGACCGGACGGGTCCCAGCCGGGGCGCGGCTCGTGGACCGTCATTCGATTGCATCGCTCTCAAAAACAAACACGTCACAGAGCGGAATTACGAACACTGCAACTGACACGTCCAACGAGAGACTTTTGATTCGTTTCAGGAACACCACCGTGCGGTGCTCTTGCGCGGCAGGCCGTACGTGGTGGGAACAGGAACACCGGGGGACCGGGGGCACCGGGATGTAGCGTCGCCGGCGTCGCTCTGGCGTCGCTTATCATCAGCCTCCGCAGGTCGTGCGGTTTTGCTAATTATTTTCATATACCTTATAATTGGCGGCGTCACCGCTGCTGCGGTTTCGGGGTGTGTGCGTGTGTGTGCGTGTGTGTGTGTGTGTGTGTGTGTGTGAGTGTCGCGGCGTCCCCCGCTCGCAGATCATAAGGAGGGCCGTCGTTGGGCCCGGCCGGGGTGACGTTACGTGTCCCTGCGGTGCGTGCAGGTGCGCGCGGGGGAGGGGGAGCCTCCGCGTCTCTGCCTCCGGCTGGGCCTCCGGCTCACGGGAGACCCACGGTCAGCGTGAGGTCACGCCCGCGAATAGAAGTAATCGCAGAGGTCGGGTCGGGTCCCGGCCGGCTGCATGAGGCTCCCCCGGCTCCGCCGCAGTGTCACGTGTGTGCTTCTGGAATGGAATGCCTTAGTGGCGGCGCAAAGCTTGGCGCTGCTCATATTCGTGATGTACAGAAAGGAGGCGAGAGAGAACGAGCAATTGCAGACGCCGCGAACGGTCCCATAGAGAAACGAACCGGCATGGCAGCTTTTTATTGAAGAGAAAAATAATCGTCGCAGCTTGGAAAAGAAAAACAACCAGATATAAAACAACGTGGGAGCGTGGAGCAGGGGGTTTATAGTATGACTTCCCCCTGGTCGGCCCCGCCCCTCTCCTCGGAATACGCAGTAAAAATAATGGCCGTGCCATCCGGAAGGTCAAAGGTCCCAGGATGAAAGCAGTGTTGAAACGATTAAAAAAGACATACATAGGATACAAACAAATTACAATAGTTGGGTAGTACAGATCCCCATGGCAGAAAATAAGGCACAATCGTGGCTGCCGGCCAAGTCAAGGTTACATTATTCATTCATGAACACGATATCGAATAATTAGTAACAGAGCGGCAGAGCGGTACACATTGACTATGTCTAATGCTGTAACGTCAGTTGAGGACAGTAACTTCATATCACAGACTTTGTTTCTAAGTTTACTCATTCATTCTCCTCCTACCTCGCATCATCACGACACGCAGTTGGGCAGTCTTGTTCCTCGGTTGCCGTGTCCGGGAGGTCCCTCACTCACAGGAAGGTGTTTTCCGACCCGTTGCCGTTCTGCGCCCTGGAGCGGAGGTGGCCGTGGTCGCCCTGGAACGCGGCGTTGGTGATCCCCCCCTCGAAGTCGGCCGACTTCTTGGCGTCCCGCTCCGCGTCCTGCTGGTCCTCCTTCTCCTGGCGAGTCTGTTTCTTCTGCAGCGTGTAAATCACCCTGTGCCGAAAATCACTCAGGTGATGCTCTGCACTTTGGAACAGCACCCGACCACAAAGTACCCGAAGGGACAGCGTTCGGTGTGAGGGGGCGGCGAGGGGCCCTCAATGTAAATACAAGCGCACACCGATTTTTTAGGGTTTTTTTCTTGACTTTCATCTGATTTTTTTTTTCTCATTTTTTTCTGGATTTTCCTGTTGTTTATTTTTGTAGGTGAACACTGATATTGAAGTAACCCTCTGGCGGCGGTGTACTCACGCAAACAGGATGAGGCCGCACAGGGAGGAGGCGCAGCTGATGAACAGGAAGGCTGCGCTGGGGTGCGCTGCAGCAGAGAGGAAGCAGGTTAGAGGTCGGAGCGGCAGTGTACGCGTACTTACGTGCCCTAGTGGGGTACAAATATTGTGGCCCCGCCATTGATCATGGAGTTCGTGATGTTTTTACCCCGCGGTATGAACTTCAATGGTGGTCCTGATCCTTGTGAGGGCCCACAATATTTGTACCCCCCCCCCTTTCCTCCCACTCGTCCTTTCCACCTGGGGCACGTAGTGCAGTACGTGCACGATTCCGTAACTGTCAACATAATTTAGTAACAACCTGCTGCTGCGTTGGTGGCATCGGGGGCCATGGTAGTGGTAGTGGCGTTGCTGGCATCGATGGCCATAGCTGTAGCGTTAGCGACGGTATCGATGGCCGTGGCTGTAGCGTTAGCGGCCGCGCCGATGGCCGTCGCTGTAGCGTTAGTGGCAGCACCGACGGCCGCGGCCGTAGCGTTAGCGGCGGTGTCGATGACCGCGGCGGTGGCGTTCATTGTGTCGACGGCCAGGGTGGTGGCGCCCTCCTCCAGAACGGTGGCGGCAGTGGCGAGCACGTCGGGCAAAGTGGTTAGCGCGGCGGTGACGTTGGCCAGGATGGGGGCGGCCGTCGTGGTGTCTGGGGCCATGACGTTTCTCGGTTGGTTGGTGATGCTGTACACTTTGCTGTAGATGGGCGCGAAGAAGACCGGGATGATGGCCTCCACCACGGCAAACAAGGCCATCAGCTTCCCTGCAAGAAGGACGTGGACACGTCACACAGTTGTGACGATATGACAGTCATGACGGCCAGTTGTCAATACTAACCAAGCTCGTCGAACTCCACCATTTTTGAGGCAACGGAGCGCAAGGCGATCGCTGATCCAGATATCAAAATGTCCAGCAAGGTCACTGGAATGGAAAGGCTACTGTGAGTAAAAGTCAGAGTTGGCTACCCTGAGCAACACAGGAGGAAACAAACTGAAACGGCCAGCGAATGCATCAGCTAATAACGGCCTTATGAAGCGAATTTGTTTCCCCAACGGCCACTCACCGGCGTAAAACTGCCACCCGGTTGTGGCCCAGGCCAAGAGCGGGGCAACCACCACCTTGGCGGTCATGGCGATCATCCCGATGACGCAGTCGTGCAGCTTCAGCCACTTGCTGAACACGGTCGTGGCGATGATGTTGCCTGGGAGGAGGAAGATGGGATAGAGTCGACACAAAGTCCCATCCACCGGGTTACATACAGACGTCTTCTAAACGATATTCTTCAAAATTACCCATTGCGAGCACCAGGATGAAGTATGTCGCGTATAAGCTCTGATCAGTGGGTCCCCATTTGAAGGCCGAAATCTGGTAGCCCGACATCGTGGCAGCCTCACCTGCAGTACAGAAGTACGACTACATGACATATTATGGTCACTTGAAGGGCAAAAGGGAGTGTTCTTATTTTCAATTCACAGAATGTAACCGGTGCCGCTTACCGTGCGCCGGACCCTGCACGGCGACGTACAGCGCCATCACGAGGAAGATCTGTAGCTGCCGGGTGCCCTTCCTCTTCTTGAGCGCCACCTTCACGGTCTCCCACACATTCTTCCAGTCGAAGAAGTCGACCAGGAAACTCACACTGGAGAAGAAACAGAAACCATGCCACAGTCATTACAAGGACTACACCCAGGAAGATGGAAAGCTGTGGCAACCGTCATTTAAGGACCATGCCATAAAATATCCTTGATTCAAACATTCACATGATTGTGCGAACTACAGTATTAAATCAAAATCTGGTTTTGCCTGCTTGCAAGGGTTGGTACAGCTCACCACTTCTCTGGATGTGGAGCTAGTATTCTGCTTGGATGTGTGCGACTTACTTGTCCGGTCTGGGGACGGGAGGGCGGGGCTCGGGGATGTGCACGTAGGCGTAGTACAGGGTCGGCACGTACAGCACGATGCACAGGATGTACAAGGGGGCGAAGCCCACGGCCTCGAACAGCGGGCCGGAGGCGGCCACCGCGATGGGCAGGCCCCAGGCAAAGCTGGTCGCGACCATCCCGATGCGGAAGGTCCTGTTCTCCGTGGTCGTGATGTCGGAGATGTACGAGAAGATGGACATGATGATGATGGGCAGGGCCCCGGTGAGCGCCGGGAACACGGCCTCGATCACCATGGGCACCTCCAGCGGCCACGAGTAGAAGAAGTAGCACACCAGCAGCCCGATGCCCGTGAGCAGGTCGCCGACGATGGGCGCGATGATGAAGGGCTTCCTGCGGTGGCGCTTGTCGGCCCAGGAGCCGACGAACAGCACCAGGATGATGGGCACGGAGTTGCGGAGCGGGGTCTGCCACACTTGAATCTCCGACACGATCGTGAACGCCTGCGGAACGAAACTCCTGAGTCAAAGCAGCAGTGCAAAGAGGATCGTCAAGAAAGTACGTCCGTTTCTCTCAGATTCATTCGGCACATTAGGAGAGCTCAGCGCCTGCGAGACTCGAGGTAGGCCACCCCGCAGTACACGCGTGCATTGCAGGCCAGATATTGCCTGCCTACCAGGCGCTATGAGCGTCTTGCATGTGCTGGACATGGCAGTCGTAACAGCGAGAATGATCCACGTACTTTCTGGACGATCAAGTAACGGGGACACTAAGGCGCAATTGCGTCGCCGTGCGGCGGTCGACGTGGACCCCGCGGCGGACTCACATCGCCGACGTAGGCCTCCGTCTCGTCGTCGACCACGCCCCAGTACAGCTTCTCGCAGGCGCTCTCGGTGGCGTTGAGGTGCCGGCTGCACGCGCGCCCGATGTTGAGCCAGAACGAGGCCGTCCCGGACAGCGTGTTGAGCACCGCGAAGATGAGGATGATGGGCTCCACCGTGACGTTGGCCAGGACGTGCTTGGCCTTCTGGCGCGCGTTCATGCTGGCCCAGGTGTACTCCGGCTCCTGCAGCTGCATGGCGCCCACGCCGCTCTTGGCGCCGCCGTTCTCCGGCATGGTTGCCGCGCTCTAGCCGCTATGTGGCGCCGATCCAGCCGCTGTAGCGCCTGCGGGGTAGGCAAGGCTGCGCGGCCCTGTGACGCGGGTCTGCCTATCCCTCGGGCGCGCAGCGGCGACGCCTGACCTCCTGGCGGGAAAGTGGAGGCTGCAACAGTCAAGAGTTTCAGCCTCAGTCAGGTCAGGGTTGCGGGGCAGTCGTCCTTCGGACTCCAATGCGTAAGTACTCCCCCCCTCCCCCCCCACACACACTGTGCCCCTCACCCCCTACCGGCAGTGGATCCTCAATCAGCGGCAGCGAGCACACTAGCGCCGACTAAGTCGATTTATCTAGGCACTTTTGTGCAGTCTCACGCCCCTGGACCGAAAAGTAGGGACTTGGATGCTGGCGGCAGACCGAAGTGACGTCGTCGCGCACACATTTTTATGGTACCTCCCGGACGGGCCTGAGCTGTCATTGAAGGTGGCGGGGCTGACCTCCGCCTCGGCGTAGAGAACCATCCGCTCGGCGAGCAGTGCTTTTCGCTCGTCCCGGCCGGGACAGGTCTGGTAGAGGAATCAAGTTTTGCAAAACTGAGCAGCGGCATGCGGAGTTTTGATTCTTATTTTAGCAGACATGGTTTTCGATTGGGCGGGTCGGTTGGCCAGCGTCGGAGTCTTCGCGTGGCCACATTGTTTCACAAATGAGGCACCAGTACTAAGAAGGAACTTATTTTTACTTGATATTCAAATTGAGTCCCCTCTTTTCCCCCCGCTTGACTACTTTTAAGCGATAGTCAAGTCACCTAACTGGCCCGCTTAGTCCTTGGGGGACGGCCCCCAGACCATAAGAGCAGCTTTTGCGGTGGCCGGTATTCGTTTTCCCGTGCCTTCCTCAATTATCCTGCTGCGGCCCCTCTCCTCCAGAGGAGCAGGGTGAGGGAGGCAGAGGCAGCGAAAATAATAATAATGGAAAGCTGCAACCATCTTTATATTGTAGTCCCTGATGATATACCAGACGACAGTTGTTTACAGCTCTACATTTCCCCACCTGCTGTGTTGTTGGTTTTTTTCAATACTCTGAAACTCTCAACAAGGACGCTTCGGCCGCACCCGCACGACTCCGATTATCATTCCAGCTTCGTTTCCAGTGCCGTGCACGACCGTCGATGCGGCCAAACCAGAAAAGCTCGCGCTTTCCGCCCGCGTTCACGCCGTGGTGCTGCATGCATGCGTGCCCGGCCGCCCCCGGCCGTGCCAAACAACAACAAACACGCCCCTTCCTTGAGAGAAACGCGTGCAGCGCCAAAGAACCGCGCTCCAGCTCGGCACGCCTTTAGGCTCGCCGCGGCCGATCGGCCAGTCAGGCAACTTCTCCTCGCCCCGCCCCGCGTCGCGCCCGCCAGTCCAGCCGGCAGCGGGACTCTTTAGCTTCCGCCCCGCGCCCGGTCCGCAGCCAGCCTATAAACGAGACATACGCAAGAGCAGAGCGAAAAATAAGGGAAATCAAACCGAGGCGGTCGTGCATTCACGCGTCCTGGGAATCGTTAACCAGAAGAAAAGTTACAGTGAATTGAATTAACAGAGTGCCGGCATTACTCGCGCACTTCAATCTCTCTGCTCGGGAGAGTTATGGGCTCTTCCTGGGCGGCGTTAATGACGACGGAACTGCCACTTCCACGGCGGGTTATGACTGTTGCGACTATGGTCTATGGTGCCGGGTGCCGCCGTGAATGACGAGCGATGAGTGAATGGCGTGCTGCCGTTTGGCGCGAGCTCGCACTCGCGCTGTGGCGGGGTGTACTCACCGCGGAGCGCAGCGCGGGGCTGGAGGGCAAGGTGCCGGGCCGAGCCGCGCAGTCGGTCTGAGGTCCGGTCGGCCTGTCGGCCAGGAGCAGGCAGGGCAGGCACTGGCACAGGTGCTGCCGCACAGGTGCTGCCCGTGCCGCGGAGGGGGACGGAGTGGCGGCGCCGAGCGGTTGTGCCGGTAATGCTGTTTGGCTCGATGGGGATAAGATTCTCCTCCTCGTCTCCGGCTAGAGACGAAGCCAGGCACCGCGGTGGCGGGAGGGGAGTGGAGTGAGGGTCACGGTCGCGGCGCGCCTAAATGTCAGAGTGGAGAGATATCTCGCATCTCGCGAGGCACCAGTGCTGGCCGCGGGGCAAGGGGCCGGGCTGCCCCGGCGGGCATGGCGCGCGTGCGGCGTCCGGCGTTTATCCGAGGACTTTTAAACTTGGCGCGCCTCGCCCATCGGCGGCTGCCGGCAGAGTGCGCTGCTGCAGTCTTGTTATTATTACAGGGACACCAACTGTGTAGTGTGCAAAGTTGGAGCCTTCGGGAACAGCCTTTGGAATGCGCCTGCGGCACTATCGGATCTGGAAACGCATTTGAGACACTATTTACGTGCATGAAAAAATACGGAAACCTTACGGATGATGCTGGGCTGTGTTTTTGGAATCATTAAATCTCGACAATTTTTGTGTCAGTTGGCAAAGTTTTACTTGACATAACCTCAAATCTCCTCTCCTCAGCAGACAACTCTTAAATACCCAAGGTAAAAGGCATTGTCCGTTAAAACTGATTGTTGAATCATGTGTTTTGTTTTTGTGAATTGAAAAAGTGCCCTAAATCTAAGAATTCGTTTGCATGAGCGACTCTTACAACTAGTCAAATATTATATTCTCACTTAACTCTTTTTTGTCAGTCTTTACATGCCTACAGTACATGTATCAACTCACATCTATTACTATTCTATCCCGTTACAGATGACAACCTCTCTCCAACTGTCTGGTCGAGCTCTACAGAGACACGCCCAAAATGTTATGTGTCTATTTTCCCGGCAGAGCAGTTCAGCCTCAAGTGCCCCTGTCTCTACAAAGTCTAACAATGACGCACTGATTCGACCAGTTTTTCACAATAGAAATCCTAGAAATCTTGAGCTCATGACAATTGCTCAAAAACCCGAAGGATACCACTTGGACAGATTCAATGTCTCATACTGGCATAAGTATGGCTGCTACATATGATCCTTTTCTTGTTTGTGTTTTATGTCATGAAAATTTGTTAATTGTATCAATGAAATTTCTTTTGGTGTCTAGATTGGTCATTACTGTCAGTCAATCTAAGGTCTCTGCAGATATAGTTCATAACAATGGCTCATCTGTGGTCTCTGCCTCCACTGGCGAATTTGGAATACGAAAATTTCTCTACAGGTTTGTATTCATCACTCTTGAGAATTTCGTTTTAAGTTTTAAAAAAATAAAATTTAGCTAATCGTTTGACTTTTTCTGCACCTTGAATACAGACCTACAGATGTTTCTGCCTACAAGACAATTGGAAAAGTTATTGCCCAAAGGTCACTAGAAAGCGGGATAAATTCAGTGTTTTTTGATCTAGAATATGAAGAGGGAACTAAGGTAAGATTTACAACATGCAACACAAAATTGTTATCTATAATAATTTAG